TCCTTGGGTGCCCTATTTTACTGCAAGCTAATGCAGCTGACTCTTTATTTTTTAGTTTTGACAACTACTCTGCTAATGTAATGGTTGATGGAAAACCGGTCAATCTGGGTTTGTGGGATACAGCTGGTCAAGAGGACTATGACAGACTACGTCCACTCTCCTATCCGCAAACAGTAAGAACTACAGTGTGAAACTAAAAGAATCTGTACAGCTTTGCATAACAAAGTTTTTTTTTCTTTTTGAACGTAAGACCGATGTTGTCACATGTGGAGTTGCATTTCTTAGTAACAGTGACTTGTTGCAAGCTACCTTCCTTCATCCGATGTAGCTGTAATATTATAATCTTCAATGTGTGTACAAATGTTAAAATTTGCGTGCACTGATACTTGTTGGCTTTTGTGTACTTGCAGCCTCAGAATCAGCTAGAATGCTTGATTTAAACCAAGAAAAAACAAAAAAAAAAAACCAACCCAAAAAACAAACCCCAAAACCCCTTGGTGAATAGTCCCATCAGCTAGTCCACTGACTTTAAGGTTAGCATGCCTGCCAAAAGCAGGGTTTGTTTTTGGTTTTAGGCGTGATGTTTGGCTGCAACCTGACACTGTCACTGCTAAGCACTTGATATTGTTTAGTCTCTCTGAAGATGTTCTAAATATGAAAGAGGCAGTACTGAATGAAGATATTATTGGTATTGGCAGAGGGTAGGTCAGAGCTTTCAAATATACTTAAGCCTGTGGCTATTTTATTACTTACTGTAGTTTGTGCTATAACATCGATACAAATGTGCTTCTGTCTTCCATGCTTGCAACTGGTTAAGTCCTCTCTGCATGCTGCGTCTTTCCTTGTATAAGGAAAATGCTGAAGTAATCTGCTTTTTTCTTTCCAGTGTGACTTCAGCTACAGTTAATCTTTGTAGAGACTGGTTTTCTAGTCTTTTCAGAGCAGTTACTTTTATCTGGTGGAGGTGTGCTATAAGTAAAGAAAGGTGGTAATTTGCAGGGGTTTTTGGCATCAATTACTGTTGTTGTTAACTGTCAAATACATATATATATTCAGTGCTAATAATGTAAAATGCAAATTTGTTCCAGTTATTCTACAGTATAACTGCTCTCAAATAATGTGAATCTTATCTAATGAACTGGTGCTTTTTTAAGTAAATTGTCTTAATTCACAATCTTCCTTAATTCACTGCTCGCTCTTTCAATTAGCTTTCCCATCAGTTATGATACCCAAGATGGATATGAACTTGCCAGTTGTAGGCAAGTCTAGTAGAAATGCCAGAAATACCTGCCTTTTCTAGGAAGAGAAACAACAAAAAGCTGTTCATCACTAATATTGGATACTTAGGAGAACTTACGTTTTGCTTAACATCGTAAAAATATTTTCAAAAAAAGTATCTCGGTGTAGAAAACAGTACATTGAAAGATCACTCAGTAGTGTGAGAAGGCAGAGTTACAAGGGAGAATATTGTTCCTGCCCTGTGACAAAGGGACGGAATGCATGTGTGTGTCTTCAGCCTGCTAAAATAACTGGCTTTCTGATAGACTGCAAAAGAATTCCATGTCAATCTAAGCAGACTCTTGCTAAAAGATCTCTTCTGTACAAGCATGTATAACTGTTAAGTAAGGGTTTGAAGTACTGTCAGTTATTTGGATTATTTTTTACAGCAGAAAATAAAAGTGGTAAGTCTTGAACTGCTTATGAAGCAGTCTTCAGATTTTAGACTTGCACAATGTGTAACATCCATCGTCACTTAAGGGACAAAAACCCCATGAAACTAACAACAAGCACAGAGGAAGAGAACAGTGGAGCTGATGAAGCCTGACTTTTTTTTTTAAGATCTGCATTCAGCTTCCTGCTTCCTTCACTGCGCTACTTAAAACTCACCCCTCACGTGTTCTTGTGGCCGTCTGTTTCCCTATATGTGCACCTGAACTATGTCCTGGGCAAGGTGGAAGCAGGTATTGCTGATTACTTGGCCAGGGTGCATATCTCAGTTAGCCACCCAGCAGTTCAACAGTTATTAACTCCACAGTGAGGACTTTGCTATAGTGGAGGCATTAATTTGTATCTTTTCCCCTTACTAATATTTTTTTTTCCTTAAAATATACAGGAATTTAATACCTTCTGCTGAATGTATTTGAAATCTACCAGTATTTCAAAATATTTGGGGAAGGAAAAAGTTGGGACACAAAAGGTGGTTAACTTTGTTTCCTCAGCAGACCAAACCAAAAAGAAAATTAAGTTAGGAGGATGCTTTTCATGAGAGGTTTGCTCTTGCAAGTCTCCTTTGACAGTGCAGCCAGGTTTATGGGGAAGTCTGGTGGTCTGTTCTGGATGCAGGTAGTTGGTTGTGCTGAATTACAGGGCAGCATCTCTCTTAAGAAGCAAGCCATATTGTGAGTATTTGTGGGCACAAATCACTGACTGAGAGAATGTTTTCCCTTGAATCCATTTTAGGAGTAACTTTATCTCCTACTGTTATTAGGTTGGAGGAACCAATGGTAAGAATATATCTTCCAGTCTGACAGATCAACCTCTTGCCGTATGTAAAACTTTAAATAAACTTCAGTTCCAAGTTCTGTCATCTTGTCTTGCTTACCATAGTGATAAATTGGCCCCTATTTTTTTAAACAATTACTTTTCTTGGAACTATCAAATTGCTAGATCTGAGAACTCTGTTACCAAATCTCTTCATATGAGTTGCTAAGACTAAACTTTTTCTTGCAAATAAATAGCTTTTCCTCCTACTTAGTAAGATTGGTACTGTGCAGGACACCTACAATTTTCAAACAATTCCTCATGGTTACACCGAATTTTTTGACCTCTGAAGCTAGTAAAGGAGAGAGTCTGCGTAATGTGCAGAACTTCAGTCACCACAAACCTGCAGAATTGGAAAACAGAAGTAGTGGCCATAGTATCACATTATTTGATGTTGTTTCTGTCTTCTGGGACGCTGCTACGGAAACTTGTTGGGGTGATGCATGAACAACTGGGGTGCAAGTGCTTAGCAGTGCAGATGTCAGATGCTGACCTAACAAAATGCCTTGAAATGCAGCACAATCAACTAACATTCTGAAATGCCTGATTCTTTAACATGTTTGATACTGGAATAAGTACGGATGCAGAGGTAGGTTGGGGAAAGTTGGGCTTGTTTGAAAGATGCTTATTGAGTTTTGGGTCATACAGCAAGATTACAGTCTTCATCTGGTTAGACAGCGAAAATTCATTTTGGTTATTCTGAATGCTTGTAGACTACAGTGTGCCATATATGAAGCTCATGGGGGTTTTTTTGAAGTGTATACTGTACAGCAGTTAGTGTACGCATTTGCTCTAAAATGTTTTTTTACCTGCTCTTACCTACAATCTTTTGTCTTCAATTGAAAAGCGAGATTTGTAAGATCCCTGAAAACACCCACTTTTCTCTCCCCTTTCTCATAAGTTAGAAAGGGAAGGAGGGAGCTTTGAGGTTTTTAATACCCTTCTCAATCCTAATTTGGTTATAGGGGAAATTCTGAAGTCTTTTTATACTGACATTCAGTAGAAGTGACATACAAGAGTCTTCTGACTTGAGCATGGAAGTAATAGTTGTAGAAATTATTGTCTTTTTTTAATTCCATACTGTATACTTTGCCTTTGCAATTTAAGACTACTTTAGAGTAGTATATTCGTATTTAAAAAAATGAGTGCCAACGGTTAACACTTTGCAACAGCCTATGCTGATGAGTTACATGTCTTTCAAGGCTTAAATCACCAACAGCATCCAACCCCAGCTCAGAAGCCAGTCGAATGACTGACTCTTCATTGCTTCCTGTGTTCGTCAAGGGTCTGAAGTGTGGGGCGGTTTGGGGTTGGGGTGGGTTTTTTTGTGTGTGTGTGTGTGTCTCCCACAAATGTCAGTGAGGGAGAAGAAATGACATTTAGGGGGAAAAAAGCTTGCAGTGCAATGCTATTAGCATTTTAGTTGCTGGCTACTGCAAGAGCTGATTATAAACTTGATTACATCTATTTGTTGTTGGTTCCCCCTCTTTGTGTCTGCTTGTAGCTGCCTGGAAATGGATTTCCCGCTGGGAAAGCTACCTCTGAATGTCATGTGCAACTGTATCGTCGACCTTGCCTTTTGCAAGTGTGATAGAGACGACAGTGTGACAGAGATGCTGGCGATACTGGCCTTTTCATGGTGATGAGATTTTTATAATGGTTGCTCTGCTGGGCTAACTTCTATCAACTTGTTTTGTAGGATGTCTTCTTAATCTGCTTTTCCCTTGTGAGTCCCGCTTCCTTCGAAAATGTCCGTGCTAAGGTAAGTATGAGCTGGTATCATTTTATTTCTCAGGGTTCAACATAGTGTTCACTTTACAGCAGTGTCTGGAAAGTATTAGGTGATTTTTTTATTAATTTTTTTTAGGCAATGTGAAATGTAGTTTGGAAAGGCAGAAATCCATTTGTCTATCTTCTAACTCATGGAAGTTCAGAGCATGTGAAACACTCTAATATGAATTGTTCTTTGATGCATTGGTAGGATAACAGTAGCTTAAGAGTTTTCAGCCAACAAGGTGCTAAGATCAGGAACAGGAGCTTTCCTTTTAATGATATTTAAAGAAAAATATTTTTAAAAAAGTATGTAAAAATTAGGTCAATTCCACTTGTTTCTTCAATCAGCTGGCATTCTAGCGCGTGCTCTGCTACCGTTGCAGTCTTTTACATCCTTGGACAACTCGGCTGTATGGCATTGTGGAGACTTCACAAATGAGAGGGGGTCTCCATGGGTGGGGGAAGCACAGATCAGGGTTTTTCTGGCATGTGGAGAAAATACAACCCATAACAGGATAAATTTTTAAAGTATATGGAAATAGCTGTTGGCCTCATTAAAAATGTTTTGCAATTGTATGGTTTTTTTTTTAATATTGCCTCAATGGGGTCTTACGTTCTCCCCTTACTCTTTGACTGACTCGTGAAAGCGTCACGAAGGACGCCGGGCCTTTCAGTCATAGCGTTCGAGAGCCTTTGTGGAGATCTGCCCCCACACACAACCTACGCTGTTTTTTTGCAGTGGTATCCTGAGGTGCGGCACCATTGCCCCAACACCCCCATCATTTTAGTGGGTACCAAACTGGATCTCCGGGATGATAAGGACACTATTGAAAAACTGAAGGAGAAGAAGCTGACTCCTATCACCTACCCACAGGGCCTTGCCATGGCAAAAGAGATTGGTATGATGGCAATGGGGTGGTTGTTGACTTGATCTAAACTTTGCTTGTGGAAGGTGTTGTACCTTAATTACAATAAAAGCCTGGCTCTTGTTGTGGAGGTGGCTACAAGCTGTGCTGCTGTAATTGTGGGAAACTGCTTTGTAATTGCCCTTTTGCTTTCCACAGGTGCAGTGAAATACCTAGAGTGCTCAGCACTTACGCAGCGAGGCCTCAAGACAGTGTTTGATGAAGCTATCCGAGCAGTGCTGTGCCCCCCTCCTGTAAAGAAGAGGAAGAGAAAATGCCTGCTGCTGTAAAGGCTGCCCTCCCCCACCCCACCCCACCCCCTGTGCTTTGCTCAGAACAATGGAGCATTCACACTCAATGCCAAGTTTTTCTGTTATAAATTAGTTCTCTTCCATAAATTCTTGAACCAATCAACATTTTCAGTTTCATTTGTTTAAAGTATGAAAGTTACCTTGCATTCTTCTAAAAGCAAACTCCTGAAATGTAAAGCCTTATTTTTAAAATCCTGTTCTTGCTCAATTAAGTGTTGCCAAACTATCTGCTGAACTAAGTTGCGTTGTTGTGCTATGAACACTAAGCACTAAACTGTTTTTTAAAGATTCTTCTTGGAGATGACTCTAATTTCTGTTAGGAAATGCAAAAACACTTTCTAGTTTTTCACAGTAAGTAACAGTACGGTATAATTAGCAAAACACCGCACTCTAATGTGTTCTATTAAATGTTTTCTCGACCTGCAGTCATTGCACAGCGTTGGATATCGAACCTAAATCTTTGACAATGACTGACACCCTTGAGTCACAGTGTAAAATGCTTTATTGTTGGTAAGGGCTTGGTTGCAATCTAGTTCTTGCTCTTGTGATTTAAAAAATAAATAAATAACTATTCTTACTGAAGTGTATCTAGTCCTTTTGACAGCATTGTATTGTGGTGGGTCAGTGAAATACTGCATTGGATCAAATGGTAGTGCCAGACAGTATTTTGACACTGTACAGATGACTTACACTACACTGCCAGGGTAGCTGAAACTGAATTGACTTTTAGTGCAGGTTGGAATCAATCCCAGAGGTGCCGTAGCAGAAGAGAGGTTGGTGTTCCTAGGTAAATTCCTTTGAATTTCAAGTAGGGCATTCATTTAGGTACACTTCTGAACCAGTCATTCCCACAACTGTTGTGTAGTAAATGCTTTTCTTGTAGGATCTCTTCTTACTGAGCAATATAACTTGTCTTTTAAAACCTTTCTGATGATAGAAATTTGCTTGCTTTTTTTTTTTTTTTTTGGTAGAGTAGAATGTTCAAGCATATCCTCTTTATTTTTCTGTTATTTCTGACCTAGTAAGTTATATGCTTTCTGAGGAGCTTTTAGTCTATTAACTAGGTGTAAAAATCATGTGAAGCAGCTTTACACATTTTAGTAATTTTTATATTTTAAACCTCTATAAACTATGAACCTTCTCAAATATCACTATTTGCCAGATCTCTTCACCACTGTAACACTGCTAATGGAGACAAGTGTTCTTTATGTCACTACATGTACATGTGCAGCATAGGTCGAGTAATGGTAACTTGGGTCTGTGAGGTTCTGTAAATTAGTGCTAATGTTCTGTACGTCCTAAACTGGCAGGAATACAACGTTGAACTACACCCTTTCAACCACTAAAGCAAAATTTAAAAATGGAAGTTGCAAAATTGTGAAGTTTTTACATTGATCTTTTGCTAATGCAATTAGCAGTATGTTTTGCATGTATGACTTAATAAATCCTTGAATCACATGTGTGGTAATGTTTGAGTTTCTGAGCAAGTGTTCTCATTCTTGTATCACTATGAATAAGTGTTCTTCTTCTGGTGCCAACAGCAGCATGGTGCACTTGCTTGTCTACTCAGGGGGGTGCGTGCTACCCACAGGCTCTTTGTGAAGAACAAGAATTAAAGCTGGTACTTGGCAACATTTCTTCAGAGGCCTTGCATTATCATTTGAGTTGTTACTAGCTCCTGCTGCTGCTTATGCACTGTTTTAAAGCTGCTGACAACCAGGGGAAAAAAAAATACCTGTTTCGCTCCATTGCATGCAAACAAAAGCGCTTTTCCTCTAAAACTGTTACTTACTGTAATGGTTTGTAAAGTGAGGGCTCCAGTGTGGTATAGTTTGTGCTTCAAGCTCTGTGCTTGTTAGCTCCTGCCCTCTCCCCTGGGTGAGCCTGCCTGCACAGGAGGTGGGGCGTGATGCTGTGGTACCCCAAAGCAGCACTGCTGGCTGCTGCTCGAGGGGGACGCATGTGCCTGGCCCTCACTGTTGCTGTGGTCTTACCTTGCTGCACAGCAGCTACCTATTGCAGCAGCTAGAAACTAGTAACTTCCATCTCACACCAGCATACCTGCACAGAGTAAGACAGGTTTTAGAGCGCATTTTATTTTGTCTCCGTTAAGTATCACAGCAAGAACATCCACACAGTTAGTCTCAACCACACCATATTACTTTTACTTACTTCTATCAATTTTTTTTTTTTTTACAAGAAATGCTGCTGAGCCTTAAAAAAAAAGTTAAAATAGTTGCACACTACAAACAAGGAATCTACTTTTTAAAAATCAGTACAAGTTGGTATACGTTCTTTGACAGCATTAGCTCGGTGCTCAGCAGTCAGAGCTAGTGATTAAGATGATGTCAGGGCATAAACAATACAGGGAGGTGTGGGGTTCCCCCCCCCATTAAGTAGTCAATAAAAGTAGTCACATGGACCAACAAATACAAAAGACAGGTAGATTAAAGAATATTGCACATGTATATTCAAGCAGCATTTAACCACAACACTCCCCTGGCCCCTGGGATACTACCACAACCTGTAAGAAAAATAGTGCAATCAATCAGAACTGCCCCATCAAAAACGGGTGCGGGCACCCTGCCCTCACCACAGCCGCCTACCTCCAGGCACTGAGCAGGTGCGGCTGGCGGCCCCTGCAGCGGTCCTCCGGCCCTTGCAGCGCTCATCACGCAGCGCCCGCCAGGCTGCGCAAAGGTCGATCATGGGGCACCGAGGCAATGGCCTGAAGTGACTTTGAAGCAGAACTGGATTTTTTTTTTTAAAAAAGGTCTGACAGGGCTCTGCTCTGACGCATAGGCCAAGCTGTCCTCACACACGCACTCACTTTGGTCAAGTATTCAGTCGACGCCTCGGCTCTCGTGCACCGGCGTAACCAGGCTTAGCGAGACCGTGTCATCCCATTCCATTTTGTAAAAGCTCAACCTTCAACAGAAATGCAGGCTCTGTGCTTTAACCAGCAAAAGGTTACTCGAGGTTGCTGCAGCAGCAAGGGCATTAAGGGCCCTTGTTTAGAGATGTGAAAAAAAGTACTGAAATCCACTTACGTATGAAAGTGGAATTAATGTGTCCTGAATACTTGAAACCTGCAATTAAAAAAAAAACCAAAGCGCCCGCACACCTCTTCTTCGAGCTATGGTGATACTACATTAGTGTTACATTCTCGTGTTTGACAAGAAATACACGATCCATGTTCCTGAGACAAACTGTTCAGAGCTTTAAGCACAACATCTGGCATGTGGTCTGTTATCATCTTGGGACTTATTAAAATCCTGCT